TAACCTTTCACCAGTTGCCAATGACTGGGCTTTTGCTAACCCTTCACCAGTTTCCAATGGCTGTGGTTTTGCTAACCCTTCACCAGTTGCAAATGGCTGTGTTTTTGCTAACCCTTCACCAGTTGCCAATGGCTGGGTTTTTGCTAACCCTTCACCAGTTGCCAATGGCTGGGTTTTTGCTAACCCTTCACCAGTTGCCAATGGCTGGGTTTTTGCTAACCCTTCACCAGTTGCCAATGACTGGGTTTTTGCTAACCCCTCACCAGTTGCCAATGACTGGGTTTTTGCTAACCCCTCACCAGTTGCCAATGGCTGGGTTTTTGCTAACTCTTTGCCATTTGCCAATGACTGGGCTTCCGCTAACTCTTCACAAGTTGCCAATGACATACACACAAAATGTTAATGCAATCAGTCGGGGAAGATGGCAAGATCCTGAGGTCTCTGGAAAATCTACCTAATTTAAACAAAATTCATAAATTCATCCTTCCATGGATGCCTTTGGTCTGATTACCTTTGATTACATCTCTGGTGGCTCTAAATATTAGAGCAGATGATACACTGTAATGTTGTCCTTGGATAGCCTTTGACAGGTTACGTCAGTCACTGTGTTGCCAATCTGTGCACAGACACCTGTTACAACCTACTTTACACAATGTCAACATGGAAATAAATCTCAGTTTGTTATTCAACAATATTTTTTTGGAGCTTTTTATTTGATACTTTTAGAAATATCTTTGTTTGGATGCCACACAATTTTCCCTGTATTTTGCATTTTGTATTTTAGTTCAGTGCTCTTGCAAATCATAATAAATATTAGCTGCAATAAATGTAGAGGCTTTCATTTTTCATATATTTCCTACTAGTAAGAATACAAACATGTAAGATAATACCAAGCCAGCAGAGTTGTGCAGGATTTACAAAACGTTTGCAGCTAACCAACTTTGAGTGTGTTGACCAGTGATGGTACATTAGTAAACAGTTGGAACAGTCTATTATTTCAACAATGAAGTTCTTATGTTAGAATTTGTGAGCCAAATATTTTTCAGAATTTTTAAACTAGATAGTAATTGGTTAAATAACTTTGTATTGTTTATGGTGTGTTAGGAATATCCCTGCACAGGTATTACTCTCATGTACTTCAAACCCACCCCCCCTCTTCTGGTAGCTGTGTCCCTCTTCTCATCATGTACCATGCTGCACTAGATACCTAGATACCAGCAGTTGCCTTGGAGACAATTGATGTGTCTCAGAATGTCATTTATTGTTTAATGTGATGAAAAAAGTCTTCTAAAGATTTATCACCCGTGGTAGACAAAAAAATATCCGCCTTTTGATTGCTGGGTACTTCAGCTTCTTTGGGTAATGATAATACGCAGTCGTTTTTAATTTACAGCTTAAAGATGAATTGAAATTATTGTTCGCATAACAATGTTATTCTTTTCCTATAATGCGTTTAACAATAAATGGTAATAAATGATTGCTGCAGACACAAAAGGGTATTTTGCTGATACCTGCATTGATCCTTGGTTCTTATGTAAACACTGGTATACATATTGTAATTATAGAAGCCATTTAACGCCTTTATATACAAAAATTAGACATTCTTCGTTTGTCAAGTTTCTAGTTCGCAGTTGTTTTTGTCCGGACGATTTTTACGAACTAAAACCTCCGCAAAGTTGCCTTTCCTCCAGAAGTAATTCCATATTTTCCTCCATTATGTTCTCCGCAGCAACTTTGGTAAATTTTTATTTTTTGATTGTTTCGTCATGATTATTTATAACTTCTTGTATATCTGTTTTTAACTTTAGATGCTACTGTTACAATGTTAACTTGGTTTCTATCTGACCCCATGTAATATAATTATTTTGATCTGTTAGGTTTCAGGTATTCTGGCACTTTGAAAAACCAAACTATTTTTTTTATTCTTTTGTACCTGGGCACAAAAACCGGAGAATTTTGACAGCTTGCCATATTAAAAGTATCTATGAGACAAGGCCTTTTTTGTTTACAACAGAGCTCAGCATAGTCGACCACTGAATTCACCAACCATGGCGATTACTCACCTCTTTTGTCACTCGCAAGTAAATGTGATTTGTTCCATTACAGTTGGCTAAGTTCCAGAAGCAGAGGTCAGCTTCTGGGGCGAGTCCGGACAAGAAGAAAAGAAGAAGGAAATCTTCTCGCAAGAGCACCGAGAACGGCAAAGAGCGGTGCATCGAGCGACCTGCCTCTAGTCTGAGTCAGGGTTCTGAGCTGTATGAAGGCAGCTCAACCGGTAATGAACTTTCAGGAACACATTCAGATTTAACTTCACCGTTATCGTTAGATGTAAGTATCGCTTACCCTTGTTTACTTGCATGTGTGTTGGTGAAATGTTTGTAACTAGGTTGAATTTGCTATCATACATAGCTGTGGTATCATGCTTGTGTAGTCTGTGTTAATTCCAAATTTACTGTGCTATAATCTACAGCGGGTATGTGTTCATAGTTCATGTGTATATAGTGTATTTTAATGTCATGCAACTGTAGTTTATTGTTTGTATTATTCAATGTGCATTTGTTACCTGCGTCTGTAAGTGATATCCTTAGTGGAATGCTTCTCAGTTTCTGATCTTATTTCACATATACTCTGAGTAGATTGCCACACATTATAGAGTCTAGTCATTAATATCTGATAATACTATCTGTGACTGCAGAATGAAATGGGGTTGCTTTCTCTGTACTGCAGGTGCTTGTTTATATTTACTGCAATTAATCAAATCATTACAATGTATCAAGCTTTGTGCATTATCAAGGGATTTGTAAATCTGATTAAGTTTCTACTATTAATATCAGTGAGTTTGACCGTTAAAATAGCTTAAATGAAAAGCATAAGATGTTTGCTTTTTTGTGTGACTTGTACAAACATGCTGTGTGGTTGAGCTGAATAGTATAGACATTTCATTGAGATAAATAAACCCCATTGTATCACAAAATGCAACATAGCCTCAGGCTTCAGGTCACTGTGTGCTCACAGGTAACTCACTCTCGTGTACATTCCCTTTATTTTCGTACGTTACAGCATATGTCTTCAGTATACTGTTTAGAGCCTAATTATTAGCTTGTTTATTTTTGCTTATTTTGACAATATCTAAAAATTAAAAGCAGAGATAGACAAAGTTAACAATTAAAAGTATTGTTTCTTTATATACATTTGTAAACCCCATTGTCATAATTAAATCTACTATGTCCCTGCAACATCAAATCTACTAAAATGAAACCCCATGACTATTTCATCTTGTATATCCTACCCAGTTTATATATGTACATCAGTACATGTTTGCTGTTTACTTTGATTCAAATCTCTTTCGTTATGAGTTGGAACTGACTTTAAACGAAATGTACTTGACAATGATATTTACACATGCATATATAAATGCATAATATGATTTATCATTGGGACTCTCACTAAGTACATATCCAATATAATATGAATAATATTTCTGATGATCCAAGAAATCTAAATATTATAAATTACTTGTTGTCAGACATTGGCTAATGTGTATATGGCTAAACTGAATTGCCACAGTTGTTACATTGCGCATGTTTGATATGGTACATTTTTTTTTATTTTGTGAAAGGTACTAAAAGTGAACACTGGCTTTGTAAGTGACGCTGTCATTTGAAATGGATTCATGTGTTTACAATTTGGAAGACTGATAACAGATTATTACACCCTGCTCTGTGTATAAACTACTGTGCACGTTGTGTAGCAACACATGGTGCATTCAAGTACGGTAGCGTTGATATGTGTGACATAAACCTGTCTTGTTCTGAAATAAATTACAAGACATACTTCGGTTTCCTAGCATCATGCTTGTTAACTAGCTGGTCTCTTGGCAGTCAGTTTTCTATGGAGAGATACTTGCAAGGGTTGTGTTGTTATTGGACAACTTGGATTCCATATCACTTGCAACATTTCATTTTCTGCTTTTCGTCTTTTTACAGAGTGATCAGCGATCAATAAGTGCAGACGAGTATTCACTAGAGGTTGGTATTGTTTTACATTGTGTGTTTGATGTCATTATGTGATATGTTAGTTACACTGACCATGCTGTTCATTGTACACCTTTACTAGGGTATTGTACTTCCCTGGATGCCAAGGTCATGCAGCCATTTTACTCCTTCACTATAACAGTACGGTACATAACCAAGATGCTTACAATAGAATATATCTTAACTGTGTAATTGTATTCTGATTGAGCCATGTTTGAATCCAGTCATTCATGGTTTAATTATGTTTTTTCTGATCTAACTAATCCACAGTGACAGCCATGTCATTTTGTTTTCACTCAATTTTGTTTTCTGTATGCTTATTGGTCCTATCTACGTCTTACATGCGATGTGGCGTTCAACAAGTCATTAGAACTAGGTTATGTAGTCAATAACTTGGAAGAGTTTATCAGGGTGAAAGCTATTATTTTTATAGTCACCGACTTACAGTATTTCAGTCCAGACATTGTAATTGTTATAGCGTTTATATTGATTGACTGTGTTTGTTGTGCCTTTAGGATACTACTAGTCTTTCAGCTGAATTACATAGAATAGGTCTAAGGGATGCAAAAGCCAGGATAGCTCAGTTAGAAGAGACGTTATATGGCAAACAGGTTGCTTTACAACAGACACAAGAAGACAATGACAAATTACGTCAATTATTAGTTAATCAGGTAAGTTTTTTTTAATAATTGCGTTATATTTTTTGCGTATTTTTTTGTTAGGTTCATGTACTAAAATTCAATAAATATTTTGCTGAATTTTATTTTCACGTCATTGCTTATTAAAAATGACTTTTGATTCCCTTGTAAATTATTTTTGATAATTATCACATTATTGACTAAGTGTAGTATTACCATAGTAGGGCATAATTTATACAATGTACCCCCTCTCATTTTAATATTTGAATACACTGTGCTTTATTAAACAAAAAGAGATCGCTACAGTATTCTGTGTACAAAACAAATGCTACATTCAGAAATTGAAATAGCTTTGATGGTACTGTAAAATACTTTATTTTAGCTGAAATTATTTTTCGCTGAATCATTCCTCCAGTGAAAATTAATTCCAAGCGAAAATAAAGTATTTTACAGTAGTAGGGGAGTACAGTGTTGTTAAGTGTCAAAAGATGGGTATATAGGTGTGAAAAGTGCTGTGAAATATACATGTAGGTCAAGTAGTATTTTCTACATAATAATAATAATAATAATAATAATTGTTTATTGCATCTTTAGAAATGCACATTTCTTCAATGTATAGCAATAAAAATATAATCAATACAAATAAAATATAACAATTAAGAATAAACAATACAATTGTTTCTCGTAATAAAGAAATATCTTGTGTTATCTTTAAATTGAATTATGTAAATTGCTTTGATGGAATATTTTAAAATTAGTTCCTGTTCGAGTAGGGACATATTTTTTTTTTAAATCCTGATGATGGTGTCATCTCTTATCAAGAATTCAAGTTTGTCTTAAAGACATGATGGAGCACATCAAATGTTTGTCCTTTTCTAATCTGATCAAAAATGGTGCCTGACCCCTTTTATCTCTGTTGTTGACAAATCCAAGTGGAGCTATTCATATTACTGATTGTTGATTGTCTGTCAACGTCAATTTGAAATCGACTACTTCTTCCTAAAAACTGTCAGCTGTGTGGTTTCATATTCACTACAAATGTGTATGGTTGTCTCTCAGATTTGTTATTATGACAAGATGTTTTGTCATTTTTGATGAAAGAAATTTTGTTTTTGACTTATATTTGAATGCCTATTTTAATTTCTTCAATATTTTTGGGGCAACATTTTGTGATGGCACTTCAGTGTTCTCAGGATTTGGTCAAGAATGGTGGCTAATTAGCATAATTTGTTTATATTGTTTGTACATTTGTTTCACTTAACACAAACTGTTTATATAACTTTATCACTGTTATTTTTATCATTACATTGGACAAGAAAGAATAAAACTAATTGTTGAGTAAAAATAGTGGCAAAATATGCTAAGGAGAATTCTTGGTTAATTAAAAAATAACTGAATTGTATATATTCCATGCTGTATTAAAAACTGGTTTTCTTTGATTGCCTTATATGGTCGTAGAACCCCCAACCACATTAGGTTGCAGTCTGTGAGTAAATTAGGTCAAAAAGTCACCAACTATGATGGAAAGCAAACAATATGTTGAGACATATTTTTTGATTTCATTGATGTTTTAATACTTTGACATACTGCTTACAAGTACATTCATTTGTTGTACATTCACTGTGTTGCCGTTCTCAGTAAATCAGTCATGATGAAAAGCAACCTTTTTGACATCATGTTTTTTGAATGTGCTAATATTTTGTGTTGGTATTTTTTATTTTCAACATTGGAACAATCTTTTTATTAAACAATTTATTTTTGACATCAGCTGTGGTGTGATCAGTGATTTACGTGGCAGACTACATAACTGAGAGCAATAAAATTATCTGCTTTCGGACTTCTGTTGGTTATTGTTTATGGCTAACGAAAGTCAGCTAAAATGAGTCTCGTAGAACAAGAGCTGCGAAAATCATAGATGCAGAAATCAAGCATTATGCTAATGATTTTGAGTGTGGTTGTCTAAGACAAGTGCAATCCTTTCTGGCACCACTGTTAGTTTATGAATAGAACAGATTTGTTCAATTTTGGGTGATGCCTTCAGTCTTGCCCAACTGCTTCAATATTGTGTTTGCAGACACTTAGGTTGGAGCTCACTCACTCAGATATAGATTTCATGATACTTTTTAAAAACCACCAGCCCGATTGTTTTGATAGTGATTGTTAGTGTGATTTAATTTATTCATGCATTAATTTACTAGTAGTGGATAACTTAATTTTCTCATTTTAGTACATACTTTCATTATCTTGAAAATGCCTAGACTGATTGATTTGATATTCTATTCTCATGAATTTAAAACAGTGGAGCTGTCATCCAACAGGCTGCTTGCTTTTATTGTAAATGTTTTATGCCCAATATTTATTGAAATCTGACTTTAGACCAGACATAATCAGCTTTAAAATGACTGTCTGGTGGCCATTTTGTTCTGTCTTAAATATGCATACATGTATATCTTGTGTTAAAACATTACTTACCTACGTTTTGGCGTGGGGGAGGGGGTGGCATGAGAGGGCGCCTTTCGATCTTGATGGAATGTTTTAAAGTCAGTCTTCTGTAGGCCATCATCGAAGCAACAACGTCCCTTTTATGAATAGATAAAATTATTTTTGTGATTTCTTTACTGAAATGTGCCTCTGCATTCTTCATGAATTTTCTAACTTGTTATGATCATATTAAAAATAGTTTGCTGGACTCAAAAACAATTTTCCCATGATTTTTTCTGCTCATAACGATAGAATTCGTCAACTTAGAACTACCATGTTGGCTATCAGAAAATATTTTGGGTACAGTTTTATTGAAAAAAAACAAGTTTTTTATTGCTCTGGAATATTGATTTATGTAAATTGAGATTATTCAACTTTCCTGCATTTTGGTAACAAATTTTACACATTTTTTACTATTTTTTTCAATATTTTGGACCAAATGGACATAATTTTTCATCTTAATTTTAAAAAAAATTATGAAAAAAGTGATGCAGGGTTATTCATAGGTTACTGTCAAATTGACTAAACTACTGATATGTGTTACAGCTCCCTCTAGTGGTCAAAATGTACAAAAATAAAAGGTACTTGATATTGTGAAGACTATTTATTAGTCCCCAATCGGACGAAGTCCGAAAACGGGGACTTATAATTTGGTCTCCGTCCGTGTGTCTGCGCGTCCGTGCGTGCGTCCAGAGTCATATCTCAGAATCCCTTGGACCGATTTCGTTCATTCTTTGCATGTGCCTAGTACTTTATGTGGGACATATGCACATGCAGTGGTTTAGCGATTCGATTTAAAATGGCCGACTGGCAGCCATCTTGTTTTTTGAAAATGTTGTATTTTGGACATGCTTTGTCAGTTTTCATTCAAACTTGGTACATAGATTATATATGTTAGGATACATGTCCATGACGATATAATTCACAATTAGATCAAAGATGGCCGACTGGCAGCCATCTTGTTTTTTGAAAATGTTGTATTTTGGACATGCTTTGTCAGTTTTCATTCAAACTTGGTACATAGATTATATATGTTAGGATACATGTCCATGACGATTTATTTCACAATTGGATAAAAAATGGCCGACTTGCAGCCATCTTGTTTTTTGAAAATGTTGTATTTTGGACATGCTTTGTCAGTTTTCATTCAAACTTGGTACATAGATTATATATGTTAGGATACATGTCCATGACGATTTGTTTCACAATTAGATCAAAGATGGCCGACTGGCAGCCGTCTTGTTTTTTGAAAATGTAGCATTTTGGACATGCTTTGTCAGTTTTCATTCAAGTTTAGTACATAGATCATATATGTTAGGATACATGTCCCTGACCGTTCCTGAGTCTGTCCATCCGTGTGTCCGTCCATTCGTGCGTCAGTCTGTCCAGAGTCATATTTCAGAATCCTGTGGACCGATTCAGTTTATTCTTTGCATGTGCCTAGTACCTTATGTGGGACATATGCACATGCAGTGGTTTAGCGATTCGATTCAAAATGGTCGACTGGCAGCCATCTTGTTTTTTGAAAATGTTGTATTTTGGACATACTTTGTCAGTTGTCATTGAAACTTGGTACATAGATTATATACATGTTAGGATACATGTCCATGACGATTTATTTCGCAATTGGATCAAAGATGGTCAACTGGCAGGCATCTTGTTTTTTTATATGCGGTATCTTGGACGTGCTCTGTCAGTTTTCATTCAAATTTGGCACATACATGTACTTTATACATATTAGGATGCATGTCCATGACAATTTGTTTCAAAATCTGGTCAAGGATGGCCAATTGACAGCCATCTGACTTTTTGGCCTTACTACTATATTTCCACAATTTATGTACCATTTTCATTCGTATTTGGCACATACATCATACATATCAGTGTGTTTCATAATCAGATCAAAGATGGCAGAATAACGGCTGTTTTTATTTTTGGCCATATTACTACTACACGGAACACGTGTTTTGATGTGAATAAACAATCTGATGTATATGCCACTTGGAACTCAAGTTTCAAGGACACGCTCGGGACAACCCCTCCACTTTAATTAATATGACAAGCACAAAGGGAACTTTCAAAAATATTACAGGGACTGTGTCATTTTCAATGACTTGTTACTTACTGCATAAATGTGTATAGAAACATGATTATGTTTTGATCTAAAAAACAAGAGTTCACATATTAAAAACTCCATACCCTATGAATGCTGCATATTTTATTGTCAGTGTACCAGTAATTTGGAAATAATGTTTTTGTATGTTGCCTGATTTGTGATAAATTACATGTACCTTATTTTTTTGCTCTATTAATAGCACATGAGCTTACAAAAATGCAGGAGTTATTTGTCAGTCTAACAATGTTGGGTTCAAGTGTTCTTCTAATAAGTTATTGCATTAATGGAAAATTGTCCTTTCATTGAATTTACCATTTCTACCGTTACTGTGATAAATACAATAAACCACTTCAATTTTGTGATAAACAAATTTACGGGAACGATCAGTATAAATCGCAAAACTTTGTAGCAGATAGTGAAAAGATTGTCAGCTAGTGGAATGTCATTCAATAGGATAATTAATATGTAGCAGACAAAATCTTTTGAACTAGTCAATTTATGAATATGTTATTGTGGTCACAGACAGTATGTCAATAAGTCCAAAACGATATGTCTATTTGTGTTAAGTTGTAGATTGCATTCTGTGGTTATATAGGTGTTGTATGAGAAATTTACCTAGTTCCACTGGTCATATATGATTTGTACGTTTCTTATTGTGTTTCATCATTAGGGGGGAGGACATTTGAAATGTGTTGAAGGAAGAGGGTGTTCTCTACATGTATAATAAAATCACATTAAATTTATTTGAAGAGTGCAAAATATGAAACTCTTAATTATACAAGTTTTGCTTTTCGTCACATTCCTTTCGAAATATCACATCTGATTTTAGCCCCCCCTCCTTATCACAAGGTTCATTCCTTATTCCTTTGTTTCCTACAATAAAAGCGTGATTGTTGTTACTTGTAATGTCCTGAATTGAACTTTCAACCCATGTTTCTTTAAAAATGAAACTATTGTGTTTTAATGTGCTTGTCATGTCATAATATTTTATTTTTATAACATTAAATAATACAACCAGATTTAAGTAAATTAACACAATAACCAATGTACATTTTCGTTCATTGTTAGTCTATTATTTAAACGTTGCTGATTGGAGCAGTCAGTAGATTCTAATGTTCTCAGCAGTCACTGTTCACTCATTGCAAGATTCCACCAGTTTACAGTTTACTGAATTGTAAAAAGTTTGTACCCTAGCTACAACAAGGAATGCAACTTCTGAATTCACACTGATGGCCATCACCTAATTGGAATCTTTGTCTTCTTTATTGCAGGGTTTCAACAATACTGAGTCATTGTCAAGTAGTAGGGAAGCTGAATACAGGTCTGCTATTGACCAGTATAACTTAAAGGTGGGTTTTTATCGACTCGTTGTTAAAAACCTGGTTAAAGAAACTAACCTGGTGAATATTTTGCATGTTTTGATGGTAACCGTGGTGTTTATAAAGAAGTCTTTTTATGCAGGGGAATATTTGCTGAACGAGCATCCTTATAGGCTGACGTCTCTTAGAATTGCATGCCGTAAATCCCAAGGGTCAAAGGTTGCATGTTCAATTGGGTACTTCTAATGTTCATACACATGTTTTAGCATCATAGCTTGCTTCAAAAACACACTGGTTTTTGGTTTATTCTGTTGGTGTTGTAGTCCACTTGAACTTGGAGTTTTTCATCCCGTGTTGTGGTTTATTCACGATGTTTCACTACCTGCTTGGCTTCTTCTTTTATGTGCTTTATCTCTTTTACCAATGGGTAAGCATATCATATTAAATCTTTCTCATCTACTCTGTTTCCCATTACGTAACTTGCACACACTTTTTTCAAATAGATACTAACCTTTTTTAATGCTAAAAAACATTTCATGCCTGATACCAAAAAATAATTTAAAATATTTGGTGGAGGTGGAAAATAGTGATCATATCTTTAAATTAAACATTATCATAATCGATTTAAAAAAATAAATGATTAATAATCGGGCAACAATTGATTTTATTAGTGTCAACATTCCCTCTACAGTTCAATTTGATTGTTTTTTCTCCATATTTCAGATTTATAACTCTCCAAGAATATACTTGAAAGAATCATTTGATCCTTTTTTAATGTTTAACAAGCTTCTAATAAACTGTTAAAATAAAGTGATTCCGTTTGTTGCCAAGTTACCGTTGATTAAGACCGACATTAAATTCTTGGCCAGTTTCCAATTCTAACCTTGCTATAAAGGAAACTATTTAGCAATAACCTGTCAGATAACGCTATAGTATTGGGTTATTGATGAACCTTGTAAACTCCTGCATTTACTAATAATCTATACTGGTAATTAACTCTGCTATAAATTGCAATCTAATTCACGTCAGGCCCTTAGTAGTGTGTTACAAAACCAGTTTTGCATGTTTCCCTTTTTTTCTAATGCAAATTATTATTATTATTATATAAACAGTATGCTATATACAGTTTTGCATGATTATATTCATTGGAAACCTCTTTCATGTTCACCGATTGCTACAAGTTGTACCCCTTCTTTCCATAAGGTCCTTCACTGGACCTTGATACCTATTCCAAGTTCACCCTGGATCCAAGTAATTGTCACTTCATCTATTTTACTATTGGATGCTAATATTCTATTTGGATCAATTTCCACCATCCAACCTTGCACAGTCTTTCTTTGATTATGTCAAAGTCGGCACTTGACTGCACCGGCCTGGCCTGGCCTGGCCT